GCGCGCTTGCGCCGGTCTCGGCGCCTCGCGGCAGCCGGGCTCGGGCTTCTTCGTCCACGCGGCGCCTCGAGGCGGCGCTTTCCGATGGGGCCCGGCGGCTCCGGGGCTAGCGTCCCACGTCAGAGCGCAGGGCAGTCACCCAAGATCAAAGCAGCCGCAAAAGTCATCTTCTTCCGTGCGGCTCGAAGCAACAGTGACGATGGCTGCCCGAGTCCTGGGCTGGTGATCCGACGCATCGCTCCAGTGGAGAAGAGCGGTGCCGCCAGAGTACGGTCGCTTTGGGTGCCGATAGGCGAGGTGTGCGCCACGGCTTGAATCCATTGACACGGTCGCGATGACTCCTGTTGGTTATCATCCCAGCGTTTACTGGGGAGGTGGGTGCCCCTGCCATGCCGTGTGTGGATGAGGCGCAGAGTGGAGCATGTTCATCTTCTGTGCGGTCCGTTTGGTGGTTCAAGTTCAGTCACCGTGAATTAAAGGTTGAAAAAAGAGAATGCCTACATTTATTTTATTTGAATTCAGCCTCGGCTAAACCTGTGTGCGCCATCCATTACGGTACCAACTCGTAAAGCCCACACTGGCGTTGTGTGATAGATGGCTACTGAAGTGGCTGGGAGTTGTCCTGTGATTCAATCTTCCCTCGTGAATCACTCATATGACTTGATGCCGTGGCGAGGGAAGGAGATCCAGAGGGGACGTTTTTTCACCTCTGCAATTGACTCTTTGAGCACGGTTGTTGTGGAAATGGCATTAAAATCCTCAGTACATTTGCATGAAGTGGCTTTTCATTGAATGTGTCATTTCCACACGTGACCCGGTTTTGCATGCCTACAGGTTAAGAGATGGACACGCAATGCCGATAATCATTTTAATTCATATTTTGTCCAAATAAAATAAGCATTTCAAAATATCGCATGGCATAAGCGTATAAACATAAACATCACATGTATTCAAGAACAATACACGTTATGTATTAGCCCAATTCACAATTCACCTTGACTAGCTCAAAGCTAGGATCAGTTCACACATTGGTCTGTGACAAATAAAAAAAACTAACTCAATTATTCTGGTCACATATCGACTGCATAAAGGTCAGCAAATGTGACACATTACTAAGGGGGGCAGTGGATGCGATGCCCACAATTTCTGGCGTTGAAAACACTGGCCTGAGGTTAGCTTGCCGAAAGTGTATCTCGTTGATTAATGGATCTTGCTCCTTAAGTGAAGTGTACAGGACATTGACATATATTTATGCCCACAAATTAAATAAAAAAAATCTTCCTGGAGGCTCAGGCTTGTATATACTGGCATGCAAGCAGTTAGGTAAACCAAAAAACAATAAAAAAATACCATTATTGCGAGTGTTTGTTTTAAATTCATCGTTTAGCACAATTGGTCCGGCGGAGGTTGGATTCGTGCCGCGTCTGACGTCCTCACAAAAGCTTTTGCGGCCTATTGCTCTCACGACGGACGCACTGGCGGGCACGTGATGGTGCGGTGACGCCGACGATTTTTTTTAATGCCATCTCACACCAGATGTAAAGTTAAAAAAATATTTCCATTTGGACACAAAAATCAAGGCCGAGTTGAGCTGAAGTAGTAACTAATTGGCACGTTTTGTTTACGTGACAAACCTCACTAATTGGCTGTGTCAGGGTGGTGGCGGGTTTAACGACGCGTTTTTTTTCACGCGACCTAACCCAAACAAAAACCTTTGTTAGGGTCATCTGACTGGTGCAGTGGAGAAAGCCACATTGGACCCATATTTTAAAGGTTAGCTTCTTGGTCCAAATCCTCACTTTCACACCCAGTGCCCCGAGCTCATTTTCTCATAGAATGTGCCACGGAGAGCCATCCCTATGATTACACTGTGTAACAAAAAAATTGTTCCTGGGTAGTAAGTGTTATTTCCTAATTGCTTATGCCTCAAAAGTACATTAAACGGCTGTTTATTATTCCCCACAAACTAAGCTTTTTTGACCAGGACAGTGACATTTTCAAATGTAACTATTTTCAATGACAAAACGTGGTGTGCATTTGTGTCATTCCTTAACATAAAGTCCTGGTTTGTGGGGAATGATAGCCATTTTCTATACTTTTTTAGGCATAAGCAATTAAAAAAATAACACTTAGTACCCAGCAACAAGAAATGGTGTTACATAGTGTTACCAATCGCATAAAAGTGATGCCATCAGCAGCCAGAGACTCTTCGAGATACAGTTTATTTTACATTTTTTTACGACAGAGTAGGGAAGCTCTGCGATTGTTCCCTGGTGATGTCCACAGCTGTTGATAATCACACCAACGGATCCCAAACAACGGGGAACCAAACAAATGGGCCCATATTTGTGTACGTACCAACGTCGTGGGGACCTTTCTGTTGACTGTGAACGCTTGAACTGGGGGACAAGTCATGTTAGAATCGGTCCTGCAATGCGAGACCAAGGAATGCATTGCTGCAATCGTGACTGATCAACTTCAAACCTATTGCAACATTTCGAAATTTGACTCAGAGCATTTGGACAGCCATAGCATAAAAGTTTCGCTCTCAACAGACATCTTGCCTAGAACGTTAGCCGTGCAGCCTCCTCCTGTGAGGCTATCTTCCAGTAAAACTGTCCTCGTTAAGCTCCCGCAGTCACTGTGGGTCGTACCTCCGGCATTCACGCGAGAAATCTCGCCTCATGGCGATGGTGGACGGCGCTTCAGATCCCTTGTAGGTCGAAGGTGCATCCTAAGTAAACTAAACTATTTTTTTAATTTCACCAGGTAAAGTCCCCTGAGCTACAAAGCTCTTTTTCAGAAAGCCACCTGGCCACAAATGATAACTGAAATAAGTGGCTTTTCCTGTGGAAATTTGTAGCCGCCAAATACTCTGAACGCATTTTTATGCTAAATGTGGAGGGCAAAACCCGAGGACCCGGAGACAGATTCACGCGACCACGGGGAGAACATGTCCAAATATACAGCAGCAGCAGCAGTCGTCTGGGCAGGAATACGAACCCACGACCTCCTGTATACCAGGCGAGGTAGTTAACATCTCCTAGCCACCGCGACGCCTATGTGGATGTCCGCGACAGGGCTTGTGGACGACTGTGTTCCCCAGGGCCGGAGTGAGACCAGTTTGAGGGCTGATGAAAAACACCACAAAACGCCAGATTTTCATCTTTTGACAATTTTTTTTTTATAACGACCCCACCTTGAGTCTTGACTTAAAGCTATCGTGACTGCAGAAATTCATATTCTTTGGTTCTTTCGGTAAAGTCACGTAGATAGCTTCATATTAATAATACGAGACTTTACCGAAAGACCCAAAGAATATGGACCCCACCTTGGCAGCGTTCCCCATTATCTGTAACGGAGACATTTGTCATTTTTGCCAAAAAATCGGATGAAAGGGCAAACTTTAGAACAGTGTAGATGGAGCCAAACAATTTCACATTGACCTACTTTTTATACAGAAATACACCTTATATTTCACAAATTTTATTGAAAAAAACTCGCCCTATACTAGTGACTCAAGGCTTGCCTTTCACCCATGTGGCTGTTGTGCCTGAACTTACTCGAAGCTATTAATTACTGAGAGGCACACAAGATAAATGTGCGGTATACATTAACATAACAATTAGGACCCTCCAGAAAAATAGTTACGAAGCCTCTGCGAGGATTCCGTGGTTAAATATTAAAATGTATTTTTTTTGCAGAATTATACAGGAAGCGGTCAAAACTGTTCAAAGGCATGCACAGATGTAGCTCATTAAAGCGATTACTATTCGTTGTTTCAGCCTGTGCTCATTCACTGTTGAATTGATTGTGCTGTAGTGTTCGGTGCGGTAAGCGCAATGGCTGGGAGTGGCGCTGCTTCGCGATCGGGGGAAAGATTTGAGTTAAAATCCTGGCAGGGGTTCGACCCAGCTTTGCATTGGAATTTTGTTTGCGAGAATTCAGCAAGGGGTTTCCTGTGAATGTATTGACCACTGCCATGGGAATGTGGAATTTCCGCCACTGGGTGAGGGCTTTAAACAGGTGATGAGTATCACCATTTATAAGAATAGGTTTTACCCTTTCTGGCAATAAAACAGTTGTGTTAAGATGTTACAGCAACAAACTGAAACCGTTTTCAAGGAATCATGTTCGCATCAACCACATATACTTGTGGTGAAGATGCAAACAAAAACACGTGCACTGGTAGTAAGTATGTCCTGATAGTGGCATTGTCTTTGTGCTGTTCATCTTTTGTCGTCCTCTGGTCTAACACTGTTTGAGACTAGGCTCTAAAGAAAGCTGTCTCTGCTGTGGACCATTAAGTTTCAAAGACAATGCATATACTATCAGAGCATGCTTTTTTGTTTGCATCTTCACCACAAGTATCTGTGGTTGATGCGAACATAATTCCTTGCAAACGGTTTCAGTTTGTTGTTGTAACATCTTAACACCTGCCAGAAAGGGTGAAACCTATTTTTATATTTTTATAGTGGCAAGGGAGGTCCCATGCAGTATCGCCATTTGCTTGTTTGTGTGAGGAACCACTTTGACTTTCATTAAATATAAGCAGAGCTCTGTTTTGTGTCACCGTAATGAAAAAAATGTATTGTTTAGTCCAGTCAGCCTATTGACTTTCCAGACCAATATTATCAAGCAGCATTTGTTTCAGCACGTAAACTCTGAATTGGTTTCGACTTTCTGGATCTCATCACCATAGTTCTGGCTTGTGAAACACATTCTGATAGATTCTAGATATTATTGGCAAGAGCGTTCTGTATATAATATGGCATGCATTCGATACAAAAATGTGTTTGTTTATGCATTTATTAATGAAGTTGCTGTTAAAAAAATATACAAGGCTAACATTAGCTTATTGTGAATTTCAAAAAAAGTATGCAAACCTAAGAATATTCTTTAAATGCCCCTCATGCAAAGTCAAATTGCTATGCAGATGACAGATTCTTCACGAGTTCACAATGTGCACATATGTGTGGGCGTTCGTGTCTGTGGCATAGGTCAAAACAACTATCTGTGCGCGGGGCGAAACGATTGCATCATCGACAAGATCAGAAGAAAGAACTGCCCCGCCTGTCGCCTCCGCAAGTGTTGCCAGGCGGGAATGGTGCTGGGAGGTACGACATCTTTATTGTTACTACTATCATCATCATCATCAACAGCCATGATCAATCCACTGCTGGCTGAAGGCATCCCCACGTCATCCCCATCCCTCACCGTCTTGCGATTCCACAAATCCATTGCCGCTTCAGCGCAAGAGCCCAATATAAATCGCTCGTATCTCCGCTGTGGTCGTCCTTATCTTATATTAATTTATACAGCGCCTCGACCGAGGCGCTGAACAAAGAATTAACTATTTGTACAGCAGAGTTGTGTGATGAGATGAGTTGATGAGAAGGATGGTAGTACACGTGTGTACGTGGAACTTCTTTTTCACTGTACGTAGCCAACTGCACTAATCAGAAGTGCGGGGGAAGCACAGCAACCTAAAGACAAAAATCAGTTCTAAAGGAATTCGTTTTCAACCTAGATTTAATAACCACCGTCTTTGTTCGATGGTTAGAAAAAAAGCCGCTGCTGCTGCTGCGAGGATGACCACCGGAATTTGCGTGACGGTGGTTCATGCTCGTTTGACGAATATGATTACGTGTGAAATAAACGACGATGAGAGTGAAAATGAGCGGTTAACGACGAGTGAGTGTGATGAATGCGTAGGGAAGTTGGGAAGTGGGATGGACTTAGTGATGGGAACGGCGAAGTCTAAGGGGCTTTCCTTCCTCTGGCTACCCTTCCCCCCCCTCTCACCTATATAACCTCTTGCCACGGCAGCTCTCTCGCCGACTACAGCATTTTTTCTTGCTGTGGTTGTTCCACCTGATGAGGATTGCTTGTGTTGCGATCGGAACGTCGTGATTTGTTTTATTTAATTTCTACCTACGTGACTTTACCGAAAGAACCAAAGTGTAATACCTACAGTACGTATGTCAAACTTCTTCCGCACCGTACGTAGCCAACCGTGCTAAACGGAGTTGCGGGGGCAAGGACAACAAAATAAACACACAAAAAACTAGATTTACAAAGTGGATAGCTCCAGTGGCTTCCTAGTAAATGCAGAGTGCTTACCACAAATAATTTGCTCGAATCAATGCTTGTTCAGGGATATTGCTGCAATATGCACGGTATTTTGTGAGTGTGTCAAAAGGAGCGTCACGACATAAGGGTATGAGTGCTCTCTGTGACTGTCGCAGTGGCAAAGCATTCGCTAAATAAATGAATAAGGGTGAGAACTGCGCGAAGGATTATGAAATGACAGAACCGCACTTGAAACGTCCTCGTGAGAGACACCATTTCGCGATGAACAAGAACCTCAAATGAGTTATTTAATGAGTTGTCGCTTGCCCACGACAGAACGTGTCCTGTGTGGGGGCATCAGGTGCGTGTTAATCGGCGGCTTCAATCCTTCGTCGGAGGGCCAACGTGCCTGTTCACGCAACAGCTTCGCGAGAGATTCAAGCTCTCGGAGCTATTAATAAGCAGCAAGGTAACTGAACACTTTGTGAACTCAAGGCATAGCCACAAGTGTGACCATGTGTGTCCTTACTCTTTGGGAGATAAAAGTGGGGGGAGGGGGAGGGTCAGGCATGGTACCAACCACACCCCCTCCCTTGGGCAGCCTTGGCCTTGATAGTCGCTCACTCGAACAACTTTCCAAAACAGTTCATTTTGTTAGCTGGCTAAATGTATAGGTGTTCGTGTGTGTTCGTGTTGGGGAGCGGTAGTGTAGCGGTTAGCGCGCTGCGATAGAAACCTGGCGACCCGAGTTCGATCCCTGATTATCTGAACCGGTCCTGGACCTCCCCTAGATCGACTCAGCTTCAAATGAGTACCTGGTGCGGTGTGCAAATTTCGCTACTGGGGAGACAAAGGCGGCCGGGCGTGGTGTTGGCCACCCACCCCTTCGTGTGCCGTGCCGGCCTGTATAGGTGCTCGCTCACAGCACTTGCCCCAACAGTCTGTTAAGGCAACACGGGGGATCTTTGTTCTTTGTTGTGTGCGAGTTTATGTGTGAGTCTTTGTGAGTACGTGAGCGAGATAGACTGTGTGTGTGTATGAGCGAGTGTGTGAGAGTTTGTGTTGAGTTCGTGCGCGAGTGTGTGAATGTGTGAGCTTGTGTGAGCGAGGGACTTTGGGAGTGTGTGCGTCTGGGGAGCGGTACCCGAGCAATCTGCGTTCGATTCCGGCTCACGGCTAACACCAGTGGCGATTATCTGAACCGTTCCTGGGCATCCCCTAGGTCGACTCAGCCTCAAATGAGTACCTGGTGTGGTGTATAAAAATATCGCCACTCGGCAGACAAAGGCGTTCGGGCGTGGTTCTGGCCACGCACCCCCTCGTGTGCCGTGCCGGCCTTCGTAGGTGATCCTCGCTATTAAACGTATGCCCTCGGGGTGCCCCTTGATAGGAAGGGGGAGCACACTGATTAAAACGACTACCAGAGCATCTCCTTCCTCAGTGTGCTGGCAAGGTCGTGGCAATGATCATCTTGCGAGGCATGTTGAGGAGAGTGTGCCCGTGAGGGCGTGTGCATCTGTGTGTGTGTGTGCATGCGTCTGTGAGGAGCGGTAGTGTAGCGGTTAGCACTGGGCTATTAACCTGCCGAGCCGAGTTCGATTCTGAACTGGGCCTTGGGCTTCCCCGCGGTCGGCTCATCCTCAAATGAGTACCTGGCGCGGTGTATAAACTCCCAACTCGGGAGACAAAGGCGGCCGGGTGTGGTGCTGGCCACCCACCCCTTCAAGAACCTTGCTTCAGACGGGCTCGTTAACAGCATTTACCCCAATAGTCTGTTAAGGCTATACAGGGGGTCTTTGCGAGAGTGTTTCTCTATGTGAATGCATGCGTGAGTGTGCGTCTGTGTGAGTGCGTGCGTGCGCCCATGTTGTTTCGCGCGGTGCGATGCTTAGCTCTGCACCAACGCGCTGACACTCTTGAATCCTAATGCGTGCCCACTTTTGCTTTGCGAATGCCACCAACATAATTCAATTGGCATTTCCGTAAATTGAAATGAAATTACGGGGGCTCGGGCAGAAGACGTAAATCCCACTCGTACAAATAAACAAAAAAAAAAACGCATTCGATGCTCAGCGACTGTATCATTAAGATGAATGTGACCGTGAAACTGCGAGCCCCACTGCTCTGCATTGTCATTGGAGCCTGCAGAGGTTGAGACTACTTTGAATGTATTTGTGTTGGTTATTGGGGGTGTGTGGGCTCATGCTGGGTCATGTAGCCCGCATGCCCAGCAACCGCATGCCTTAACAGCTTTTGTTCGGCCGAATGGAGGGGGCTAAATTGGCGCAGCACGGGCTAGAGAGGTGATGGAGTGATGTGGTACAAGAGGACGTGGAGCTGAGTGGACTTGCCGATGATTGGTACCAGCGGTGTTAAGATCTGCCTTTGTGGAGGAGGCTCGTGAAGGACGCTACTGGGCAGTTGGAGGCAGTCGCCCTCCAGCAATAACGGAGGGCGGAGGAGCGACGCTCACAACAATGAGCGGAGCGCCAGCCGGCTAAAACACAGAAAGTTGGTGCAGTAGGGGGCACAGGTGGTGCATCGGTCAGTCATCTCAGTCGACGCATGGCACCTGGGTCTGTCCCGTGACCTCCTGCCAGTGGGCGTTCGACACTTCACATGGCCTTAAAGTGCATATGGCCTGGCACAATCGCCGTGGTGACGTCACCGCCACTAAGTGGCGAATGGCGGTTGTTGTTGTTTTGGGCTCAAGCACTGCACTAGAAACCAGCCAACAACCTGGATTCACTTTCCCATCGTGGGTAAAAAAAAAACATCTCATCCCACCCTGGGCTTCCCCTCGGTCGACTCAGCCATCAATGAGTACCGGCTGACGTGCGTGAACTCCAGCACTGGGGTGACAAAGGCTGTGGCGCTGGTCACATTGTCCCTTGTGTGCCATGCTTGCCTTAAGAGCTTGTTCTATAAAAGCACTTGTCCTAAAAGTCTCCAAGACCGTATGGGGATTTTTGTCTTTGTATTTTTTTTTGACAATTGCCATCTGTAGCATCGGAATATGTCTTGTGACCTCCTTATCAACAAACCCCAACTGCTCTGTCTCCCTGTGGTACACCCAGCCTGGCGCAGATGCTGTTGCAGATACCACCAGCACTTCGTGATAAATCGCCGGTTGTATGTGTGTGGCTGAGGAGTAGTGCTGTAGGTCAAAATCAGCCTTAAATGAGTGCCTGCTACGATCTTCATGGGTGCTCGCGAACAGCACCCGTGTAGGCCATCTCGGGGGATCTTTCGTCATTGTAGCGGTTAGGCCAATTTGCATTGATCCTGGTGATGGCCGATTGGCAAGACGTGTTTGGTGGGGTAGAGTGTGGGCATTCCCACCTCTTCCGAGAAGTAAACGCCCAAGAGAGGCTCTCTGGAGGGGCTCTCTGGAGGTGCTCTCCAGAGCTCCCTCGAGTGGAGGCCGTTCCATCAGCAGTGCCGTGAGGCAGAGATTTCATAGTTTCATTTATTTATTTGGTATAGCCCTGTGAGCCATTCGGCTCTTGAATCGGGTGCAACTGCAACAAACAAAAAAAACATAAACAAGAAAACATCTTAAAGTGACTTTGTGCAAACAGAAAATCCAGGAAAAAACATCAAAATATTCACAGGGTTTGTGAAAATTTAAAGATTTGGATCTGAGGCTGCTCTGGACACAAACTGGTATTCCCGCACGTTGACTCGGCATAATCCAGGTACCTGGTGCATCGTGTCCACTATTATATTGAGGAGAATGTTTTTTTCTTCACGTGATAATTTCACCTTGGAGTTTATACATGCTTCATTTTTTATGTTCATTGGGGGGAGACCACATCATTAATAATGCGACCTGTTGAAACGACGCACACCGCAATAGCATCGCGTTCGCATCATTAATATCCTGCCTTTTGTATTGAGCCATTCATTGTCTTCTTTATACGCTCGACTTGTGGCCAATGAAGACAGGCCTCCATCGTGGCACGTCAGATCGGTCGGATCTGTGTATTCTTTGTTTTTTGGTTATGGATACAGGCAGGTGGTCCTGAAGTTGGCATTTTAAATG